CCCGCGCCCGCCCGCGGCGGCTCCAGGGCCCAGAACGGGCGGAGCGCTCTGCTCGCCGCGGCCCTCGGAACGGAGCGGGCGGGGCCACGTCTGCAGCCGGAGCCTTTGCGGGACGGGACCGCGGCACCCGGAAACAGCGGGTGGCTGGTGCAAGCTGAGCCGGCAGTGAGGGGCGAGCTGGGCCGCTGGCAGGGTGCTGCAGGTGGGAGGCCTGGGCTGGGAGCGGGAGGGGCAGAGCCCGGCTGAGGCTGCCCCGGAGGGAGCGGTGCAAGGGTTATGAGTGAGGGAGGGAAAAAGCCTGAAGGAGGCCTTCGGTGTGGGAGGGGGAGATGTTTGGGGTCGGTGGATGTGGTGGGAAGCAGGTCTGTGGGAGCAGGCTGGGGAGGGGGAGAGTGTGATTGAGGAGATACCGAGAGAAATGTCTGCGAATGGAATGGTCTGAAGAGGGAGGGGAGGCGTGAAGGTGAAGTTACGGTGGGGAAGCAGCGTTCTGTGAAGTTGGGAAAGGTTACGGTTCTGGTGATCAGCTGTATCGGTGTTGCTAAGGTTATGGCTTACTTGCTGGGTTTCTTCTCAGTGTAGATGCGGCTGGTGCTGTGCTGAGAAGGTGCTCACTGTGCTTGAGGTACTGCTGTCTGTGAAGTTAACAGACGTGCACGCTAAATAAGTGTTTTCATGGCATTACAATTTCACGCTGAGTTTTTGAAATTAGAAATGCTCTAGCAGTACAAAGCTTATAGATTAAGTTAAAAAACAAGAAGATGCAGAGATAATGAACATAATAAGATAATACATATTATGGAATAGACTGAAAAGTAAAAGATAAACACCCCAAAGTACTCCAAGACGTTTCATTTATTGAATCCTATGAACTATATTGTAAATCAGAGTGAGGCACACTTGGATACTGGAGAAAACTGCATAAACACCATAGTGGGAAGCTTATCTGTCATGGTGGCCTCTACACAGGAGGGCTGGGATCTAAGGCAGCCCTTGCTTTGCAACAAACATATGTGCAGACTGCCAAAATGGGGTTTAGAATGAACATTAGGTGATGGACTGCTTCTCCCAAAATCTATGGGGTTGCCTTTCTCCATAGGCACTGCACTTGACCCATCTAAACCCTGTGTGTGTGAACTGAGGCTGACCTGTTCAGCTCGTCTCTGTTGAGGTAGTGCACAGGATCTGCTCCGCAAGAACTGTCACTGTATACAGTGTGCTAGATGGACCCTAGCTCTGTGATACAGCCTTATCTTTTATAAAAGTATAAGCAACGTCAAATTTCTTTAGAGGCTGTGGGGTGAGTTTGAGAGAGATTATAGTTGTGGAGTAACCAATTTACAGTAACGTCCTTTAGAAACTGTAGCTTGTGATTCCCTTTTAGGCATTGTGAGAACTTGTGATTGAAAATTATATTTCTAGGAGGTAAGGATCCACTGGTTAGGGATGCGTGATGTTCTGGTTTGTAGAAGTAGAATGTGTAGCAAAAATAGTGGTTTTGGGAAAGACTATGGTGGTAGTAAGTATGAATTTGCTTTATTTAAAGTGATGTATTGTTAGGAGTGACTCTGCATCTTTAACAATCCTGCAGGCTGTCTACACAGCCTAATTCCATATGCTAGTTATGCTGCTGTTTGCAATAACAAGAAAAAGGCAGGGATCATCTGAACCAGGTACCTGGGGAAATCAAATCACATGCATCCGCCTAAAATAGTTCTAGATTTGGCAGTGTTAAGTGAGGGCAACACATACTTGATCTTCGGGGCAGGCTTCCTAGGTATAGTTACTCCTTTCTTGCTATTCTTGAATTGCATCACCAGTTACTTCAGTTCACACCCATATGCACGCTGCTTGCACAGGCTTAGTGCCCGCATTGGAACTCAGGAGGCTGCACGGCTGGATCACATCAAGAGAGGGTGTCTCTAGAGGAGAGGAGAGATTCTTGAAATCTGTCATAATGTAAGATGGTTGGGAGTTCAGGATTTTCCCATTGAATTTCTGAACCTTTGTGTCTTAAATTCATACCCCTTCAGTACACTGTTCAACTGCCTGCTTTTCTTTGTAGTTACTAGCTTTCTGCAGTGTCTACAGATTTATTTTCACTGTAGTATCTAGTATTACTCTACTCAAAGTAGGTCACCTTGACTGAGGGTGGCTCTATTGCCTCAAGCACCCAGACTTGATTAGTAATTCATAAATAGCATAAGTGTAAGCTGTAGCTGAACCCTGGTTGTACTCAACGTTCAGTCTTTCGGCAGCTTAAACCAAGCTGCTTCATTAGCTGGATACATCTGCAGGAGCTGCATTCGGGCAGTGCTTCAGTTCATGGCACTGCACTCCTGTGTGCGTTTGAACTAAAACTGAGAACTGAATGCCTCCTTGCTCACAGAATCTGAGTGTGACTACCAGGATCTTTATTTGCTGTGATCTGTACAATGAACGCAGTGTATATGCTGTTTGAAGAAGAGAGAGGCAGTTAAGGCAGGTTGTATCAAATTTCTATGCTGGCAGGCAGAGTTTGGCTTAATGAGGGTTATGTCAATACGAAACTATTGCGCTACTGTGCACATAGGCGAAGTCTTCATCTTACAAGCAATACTGGTGTTAGATTTAGCCCAGCGAGGGCCTGAATTTCCTGAATGCTGAATATTTATACTCAATATGTGATTTATTTAATATTCGGAAAACCAAATTCTCATCAGTCAAATAAATATTTAGATTCTTAGGTTTGGTGCAAGGGATAAAGGGAGTGGGGTGGGCTTGAAGAGTATTTAGCCACAAATTTAAGATTCACAATGCCTGACTTTTCCTGTCTGGTACGTAGATTAGAATGGCAGAGGGGTTTTCCCCACCGAAAAAACCCTCCACAAAACCAAAGCAAACAAACCAACCCCCAAAATCCCACAATCTTTCTGTGATCATCTAAAACTCAGCAGGATTAAGTTTCCTTTCAGCTAGGTTTGCTGTCAACCTGAAAGAAAACCTTACCTGAGTCTCACGCAATTTATAGCATTGTCTGAAATTAGTCGTTAGTTAATGCATAATTGCATTCCCTTTGTTAGACCTGGCAATGGTGGGATTTCCTGGTTGAGTGATAGGCCAGTGAATCGCTGATCCAGCCTCCACTATCCTTGGCAAAAGCCTGGGTTTTTGGAGCAAAGTTGAGAAGAAGAAATTGATCTTTAACAGTTACAATTTAATGTGTAACTTCTCAGTGCATAAGTGCACTTGCCAGTGCTAAAAAGTATCTACGTGGTTTTAAAAAGGCCAAAGATGGGGTGGTGACTCAGGAGCTAGATGACGTTGCCGGAGCAAGGTCCACCAGTGCTCTGCTGTGTTGTGCTTGATATCCTTGTCAATGAAGTAGTATTTGTATGCAGTGATTTTTAAAATTTTTTTCACTATTAAAGCATTTTTTTAAAATGTAAACGGAGACATTGGAAATACTGTCTGAGGGAAACCTTGAAGTGAAAAACATCTTTGCTACTCGGTTTCTGCTAGAAGAGTAAGAAAAAAACTTTGCTAGAAGATTTGCTTTAAATTACACTTCTGAAGAAGAACACAGGTCCTAAGAAAACCTGTGTATTTTTTCCATAGTGTACTTAGCACAGTTCATAAGGTACACAGCAAGTAGCATGAGTAACAAACTGAAAAAGAAAAGAAAGAGCAAGGTAAGTTTTAAAACTGTGAAGTGATTTGCAGTGTTTAGTTGTGAAGTGCCATGTATTCGGGGAGGAACGGCTGACGAGTGTAGGTAGCTGTTGGGAGGGAACAAAGAAACCTGTATCAAGTATGAGAAAATGGAAAACATGAATAATGTCGTTTCAAAGTGAGAAATACAGCATTTAAGATTCTTCAAAATGTTTATAACATTATGATTTATTAAAAAAAATACACAGATATGGAAGATTGCATGTTTGGTGGGAGGAAAGAAATGCATTGTTGAATGATAGCAGCCCAAATTTGGCAGTTGAAATATTTGTCTGTGTGTAAAACCTTGTTCACAACCCACTTCAGCAGCACTTACTAGATCTGGTCTATGCACCCTCAGTACCACCTGGGATTTTCATTACAGAGTCATGGAAGGGTTTGGGTTGGAAAGGACCTCTAAAGATCATCTGGTTCCAAAGCCCCTGCCACGGGCAGGGACATCTTTCACTGGATCGGGTTGCTCAAAGCCGGCCAACCTGGCTTTGGACACTTACACTGATGGCACTTCTACAACTTCTCTGGGCAGCCCCTTCCAGTGTCTCACTACCATCATGATAAAACAAAAACTCTCCCTTATATTCAATCAAAATCTAACCTCTTTCAGTTTAAAACCTTTGCACCTTTTCCTCGCACTGCAGACCCTGGTAAAAAGTCTCCCTTTGTTTTCTTAAAAGCCCCCTTAATGTATTGAAAGGCTACTCTAAAGTCTCTGCAGAGCCTTTTCTTCTCCAGGCTGAACAACCCCGACTCCGTCAGTGTTTCTTCATAGGAGAGGTGTTCCATCCCTCTGATAATTTTTGTGGCCCTCCTCAGGACCTGTCTGAACAGGGCCACATCTTTCTTGTGCTGGGGTCTCAGACCTGAGTGCAGTTCTCCAGGTGGGGTCTCAGGAGAGCAGAGTAGAGAGGGAGAATGGCCTCCCTTGACCTGCTGGCCAAGTTTCTTTTGATGTAGCCAAGAATACGGTTGGCTTTCTGAGCTGGAAGCACACGTTGCTGACTCCTGTGCTATTCTTCATCCACCAGTACTCCTCCACACTGCTTTCAATCTATTCATCCCCCAGTTGGTATTGATATTGGGAATTGTCCCAGCCCATTTCCAGGACCTTGCACTTGAACTCTGTGAGGTTCCTTCCATCCATTTATTTCTATACTTAAACCTTTTGACGTATTAGATACTTCTTTTGGTAAAAAGAAGGCTAGATTGAGTCCAATAGAAAGAAGATTTATGGACTAGAACTTTCCTCTGAGGAATGTAGTTGAGTTACAGAAAGTAGCATGTTATTTGTGTGCTATTCAACACAGGGAAGAGGCCAGTTCACATGCAAAAGTGTAGAAATAAGTCTTAAAAAAATAGGTTCTTTGGGTTCTGTGAGCTACCTCTTGCTCCACCTTCCAACTGTACTTTTCCCCTTTGTTACCAGCTTATTAGGTGTACCTGGCACTGGGTGTAGCATCAGCACTTTTCATTTGAGGAATACGAGAACACAAT